CTCTGAGCCCACTGTTATTTTCCTAGCTGGGTCGTTGGATAATGCACTCATTTTGAAGTTTTCCTTCACTGTCCCTTCCCTTCGGGATTTATCTGTCGGTTTGGTCAAATTGGGTCTCAAGGGTAGAGTTATCCCTAAGTTCCTGAATTATAATCATTATTTACTCTTTTTTGATTTAAAAGAGGACTACAACTCGGTTTGGATTAAGACGCATCTCAATATCTTCGGATGTGCTGGTCAGGTGTTTAAATACACCCCAGATTTCTCCTTTGTTGAGGAATCCCCCATAGTCCCGGTGTGGTGCTGCTTTCCGGGCCTTTTACCATACCTTTTCGACCCTTCTGCCCTCTTTTCGATTGCCAATTGCATTGGCAACCCCATTGAGAATGATGCCGCTACGGCAAATCGCTCGAGGTTATTTGTCGCACGGGTGTGCGTAGAGGTTGATCTTAGGGACGAGCTCATCAAGGAGATTGAGCTCGACCAAGCGGGCAAGACCACTATCCAGAAAGTGGTCTATGAGAGAGTACCACCGTTCTACTCCCTATGCTGTCATGTAGGACATGGGGCTGCAGAATGCTATACTAAGGGCAACAAGCCTCGACCTGCTCTACCCCCTCGTCGACGTGTAGCGAGGCAGGGTTATACTATCGCCCCGAGGAGCCCTAAGGAGAAGGGCAAGGCCCTGGCCCACGGCCCCGACCCGAAGGGGCAAAAGGGGAAGGGCAAGGTCACCTTTGAGTGCACACTGCCCAAGGAGGCTAACCTCGATAGGCCTAAGGCCAAAGCTACAGGCCTTTTCCCCCACCAGTCCCTCCAGTCAGCTCTGATAAGTCGTATTATTGGCATGTTAATTGTCATGTTTTCTACATTTTTCGGTGTTTGTTTGAGCTTAATTATTGATTTTAATTGATTTCTATAATTTTTGTAGGATATCTCGGAATTTGGAATTTTGTGATGATTGGAGGGCGAAAGAGACGAATTTGAGCTAAGGCGTGGGCACGCTAATTTCCTACAAGAGTTGGAAGAAAGAAGGAGTCTCAAGTTGGAAAGAGAATAATAACACCTTTAGGAGTTTTTATTTATTTAAAGACTATTATTATTTTATTAGGATATTTTGGAGAGAGAATAAACTCTTTATTATTTTCTACGTATTATCTCTTAGAATTAGGATTAAACTGGTTTGATTAAAAACCAGACTGTCAGATTTATTTTGGAGTCATCTCTTTTTCTCTTCTACGCTAGACGCCATCTTCTTTTCTTCTCTTTCTTCTTTTCTTTTTATTTTTCATGAATAATTGGGAGACTTCTCCCATGTCCATGGTGAATTAATTTATTTTTCCAGCCAAAGAATTATTCTAGATTTGGTTCTTCATGATTTGTGAGATCTAATTGAATTTCTATTCCCTATTCTCTTTTATTTATATATCTCTTGTGATTATTACCAATTGTGTTTTGATTGATTGATGCAAATTGGCCATTTGTTCGATTGTTGAAACTCATATCGTTATTTAGGATGGTTAAATCCGTAATTGTTTGATTGTTCTAATATTTGTGGCAAATAGCATAGTTGATTACTAAGGGTTTTCGATTGTATGCTTAGGGAGATATATGATCTAGTCTAAATGATCCTACATGTGCGTTTGTTGGCTAGAATTGGTGGTCCTTCTAGATCTTATTGCTGTTGATAGATTAAATCCTATGATCGTATCTAGGGTTGTCTGTTGATTAGAGAAATAATTAGAGATCGCATCCTGATTATCGAACAAGTAAGGAAGGATAGGTTGTTAGGTCGTACCAATAACCATAACCAGTTTAATCGGGAATAGGAGAATTA